TTCACATATCATCTCTAGTAAGTTCTAATTTATAGGTACTCTATTTTCTTTTGACCCCTACATTATTAAAACATGGTTTTTCAAAAAAAATTTGATGGCTCATCATTTTGCTGATGAGAGAGAATGAGTTTCTGTGCTCCATCACTACAAAAACAACAAAATGAATACTGCAAGAAAAAGAATATGATATTGTAAAAAAATATAAGAATACGATATTGTGAAATGCAACAACACAGACAATCCTTGAAAACATTATGCTACCAAGTGAAAGAAGTCAGTCACAAAAGATGGCAGCTTATGACATCACTTAACATGCAGTATCTACTAAACAAATCAGTAGAGACATAGATATTAGTGGTTACAAGGAGCTGTGCAAGACAGAAATGGAGAGTGACTGCTAATAGTTATGAGGTTTCTTTGGATATTGAAAGTAAATAACATAATGGTAAAATGTGGATGGAAAGAAGTATCTGATGATTCTGTGCAGCAGACTTTTTAAAATCTTAATAACATTGGTTGCCAACTTTTCAATTTTTAGAGAACATTTTTTTCACCTACCAAAACTAACCATAGAGTTCTAATCTACTATTAGAACTATTTGAATCTACGATTGGCTCTTGATTTTCTATCACTAGTCACAATGTTTATCTATAAAATAACAGGTAAAGAGAATGCACATTTAAATGTGAGAAACTGTGTATTACTCATGATTTCACAATGGCCACACCCTGAGATCACTACTGTGTTACAAAAATAACCTACCCCACTGAAAGAAATTAGGGCTCTCTTGTGGCCACACAATTTACAAGATAATTTTAGAACAATTACCACACCAATGAAATTATTACACTATATAATTGTGTTATGGTTTGGTATGAAGTCTCTCCAAAAGGTTCACACGATAAAGTCTTGAATGCCAGCTGACGGGGTTTATGAAGTGACTGGATCTTGAGTGCTCTGACCTCATCAACAGATCAGTCCACTGATGGACTCAAGGTGGGACCTGACTACAGAAGTGAGCTGTTAACAGAGGCATGCCTTTGAAGTATACATAGTGTCCCCAGCTTCTTCCCCTCTCTCTCTGCTTTTTGGTCACCAAGAGTTAGCCAGCTTTGCTCTACACCATTCCCTTACCACCATGATGGTCTGCCTCACTACACATGGCAATGGAGCAGGCAGACCATAAACGGAAGTCAATTAAGCTGAGTCAAAATAAACCACCACCTTCATCTGTGTGAAATATATGAACTCTGGGGCCCAACTCAGCTCTGCTGAGATTTGACACCAGAAAAGCTGTGCTCTAATTTCTTGAATTCCTAACACTGAGCAAACCACCTCTAAGTTACTTGGGTCATTTTACTTCAAAAAATAAGGAATTTGGTCAAGAGAGCAAGGTTCCTCCCAACTCCCAAATATTATATTTTGGGGTAAGCTATTCATGAAGCCATTACTGTGTCATAAACCTGACCAGTAACACTAAACCTGACCAGTTACCACTAGTAACTCAGTGGTAAAGCATGTGCTTAGCCTGCCTAATAATTTGGGTTCAAAAATAACTACAGTATCAAAAAAAGAAGCATAGAACTATACTCATGGCTTTCTTTGCATGTAGAAATAAGTAAAACTTCAAAAAAGATCCTAATATACATAATCCTTTTTAAAAAATATTTTATTATTTTTATTGTATGTTATGAGTGTTATGCTTGCATGTAGGTAAGTTCACCATGTCGTGCAATGCCCATGAAGGACAGAAGAGGCTGTCAGATCCCCTAGAACTGGAGTTACAGACTGTTGTTAGCTGCCATGTGGGTGCTGGGATTTGAACCCGGGTCTTGCAAGAACAGCCCCTAGAACTGGAGTTACAGACTGTTGTTAGCTGCCATGTGGGTGCTGGGATTTGAACCCGGGTCTTCTGCAAGAACAGTCAGTGTTCTTAACCACTGAGCCATCTCTCCAGCCCCCAAATAAATAATCCTTTAAACATCAGAAGACGTGAAATAAAATTTAATCTGTGCTGCCTCAAAAAAATGTCATTATTTTTCCAACATATAATATATAAATTTGCCAGCAAAATTAGGTGACATTAGGCAAATATGAACATTAGTTACCTGCTCTATAAAATGGAACCAGAAACAACCTTGCCATTCTTCTGAGGACAAAGGGTAACATACATAGTTTTAAAAAAAAATCAAGTTTCTCAAAGGATGCTTCTGTCACCTATTTTTTGGGGGAAGTGTAGTGCTATGGCTCAAACCCCACCAGGGTCTTCAACATGCTAAGCAAAGTACTCTACCATTGAGCACCACTGCCCATTACCAATTCATAAACCAGAAAGAGAAATTAATAAAATCAATTACAAGTTACACAAATAAAAGCCACACAAATAAAATGTATATCCCCCCTCTAAACACACACACATACACACACACACACTGCATGCATTGCTAGAAATTAATAAGGAAAAGACAGGCAAGCAATATAACAAACAAAAGCAAAAGACTTTAACCAATATTTCAAGAGGAAATCCAAATGAGCTCTAAATATAAAATGTACTGAGCCTCATTTATAATAAATGAAATGGACAGTTAAAAAAAAGATTAAATACTACCAGGCTGCAAATATTAAAATTCTTGCTAATACATGGTAGTGTAGTGATATGAACGTACTTGACGGTCAAAGTATCTTTGGTATACATTTTGTAAAGTAGTTTGAATTATCCAGTAACACTCAAGATGCATATACTTTTTGTCCCAACATTTCCCTCCTAAATATACCCTGAAGAAATACGTGCTGAGATGCATGCACGAAGGTATCACTGAAGCACTGATTTTAATAGTTAAAACACACACACAATCAAATGCTCTTCTATGGAATGAATGAATAAACTAAGAAGCAAGTACGTGTGTGTGTGTACAAATATAATAGAGAACAACAAAGCAATGAACACGGGTAAGCTAAAACAATTTGTAATGTGACTCACTCATTAAAAAAAAAGCAGCAAAATACAAAAGAATATCTGTGATATAATTTCATTCTCAACAACAGAAAAATTAAACTACACTATTCTAAGATATATGAGGATATGGTAGTTATTTTTAAGATGTAATGAAGGCTGGGGATGTTATCTCAGTGCTACAGCCTTTATTTAGTATGTGCATGGTCCTGCAGTCAATCACTAACATCACAAGAAAAACAAAGATGCAATGAAATTGTTATTTTTTGGAGGGGTAGATATTTTTTGTTTAGAAAGGTGTTACGGTTTAAATGAGAATGTCCCCCATTGGCTCCAAGTATTTGGACATTCTGAATGTTCCTAGTTGGTGGTGCTGTTTTTACTTTATTATTTTTATTTTATGTGTATGCATGTATTACCTGCATGTATGTAAGTGTACCCATGTCATGCAATGCTGGCAAAGAACAGAAGTGACCATCAGATCCCCTGGAATTGGTGTTACAGATAGTTAACTGCCAATGTGGGTGCTGGGATTTGAACCCAGGTCCTCTGCAAGAGCAGTCAGCATTCTTAACCACTAAACCATCTCTCCAGCCCCCATTAAAAAATAATTTAATGAGCATGGAAAACAAATCTATGTGGTGTGAAGGGTGAAATGTGAATGTTAGGCAGTAGAGGAAGATCAGATGGTGGACAATTTTGATTGCTACACTAAGGATCAGGGAATCTTGGGTACTTAGTATTCTTCAATGTTCAAGGCTAGTTTGTAAGTTTTTGAGGGTAGAGGTCATTCCAATAAATGAAGAGAATGAACCAGTATATAATATACTTCAGTTATGCACTGTAAATGAGCATACTCTGTAGGATATAAATTATGCTTCAATAAAGCTGATTTTTAAAATTTCAAAAACTAAAATCAAAGATGCCGCCTTTACTGCATTCCCTCACCATGCTTCCATGCATATATGATGAAATGCATTCAAAAGCAAGGCACCATGATTACATGACCAGTTCCTTCAGAAAAGAATATTTTCTTTACCTCTAGCTTGCCTCACCTCTACTTTGCATATTACTACCAAAATAATCTTCCAAAAGAATGCTTTTGAATTACCTACTTTAGAAACTGAAGCATTTGCCATGTGGTACAAACTATCACACCAGTACTTAAGAGACCGAAGAAGGAAAAATAAGAGCTAGGATTGGGGGCAAATGAGATGGATTAGCAGGCAAAAGCACCAATCTCCAATGCCCAGAAAACACATGGTGGAAAAAGAGAACCAACCCTCAAGTTGTCCTCTGACCTCCACCTGTGTGCCCTGGTAGGCACGCACACATAGAAAAATAAGTAACTAAATAAATAGAAATGTAATAAAAATAATTTAAGAAAAAAGCTTGGATTGGCATGGGCTACACAACAGAGAGGGATGAAGCAATTAAGAGAGAAAGAACAAGAAATAGAAGTGTTTCCCAAAGCATCTCTATATTCAAAAAACCAAATATCTACAATTTAAGTTTAATTTTCCATTCTGGTCTTATTTTTCACTACTCATCATATACAAACATATCTTGTCCAAACTCACTATTTTTTTTAAGCATTCTTTATTTCCCACTTCCAAGCCCATCTTCAAGCTACCTTCCCAATCTAGCATCCTCCCTGTCTTTTACCTTAAAAATACCCATGTGTCAAGATCTAAGCTTAAGTGTTCTGGAACATGGAATCTTCTCTCAAGGCCCGTTCAGGTATGATCTCTTCAATTTGTGAATTTCTACTCAAGTCTGACCATGCATGAAAGCTAAAATCACCATTCTCTGTGCCATTCATAAGAGAATATTTGTTCTTAAGGATTTCAGATGATCTACACCCACATTTATAACTCACTAGAGGTCAGATGAGACAGGCTTAGAAGGCTACACTCAATACAGTGTATTAACTGCATAATTATTTACTGAAAGAATAATTATTTACATCTCATAAATACCCAGAAAGTCTTTGATGCAAGAATACAAATAAGATGGTAATCTAGATTATTTTAGAAAGAAATTTTACCTTTTCAGTTGTTACTGGTTTTGCAGGCTTTTCTGGCTCCTTTTCTCTCTTTTTCTCTTCTTTTTTTTTTTCCTTTTCTTTCTAAAACATAGCCCAAAGTTTTCACAAGTTTACTTTTAAAAACTTAGTTCACTTTTATTAGTTTGAATCATCATATGAGAAAGGCAGAAATAATAAATGCTTACATTATCCAAGTGCTACTGAAACTTAAATTAGACAATTTCACATTCTCATTGAGGTAACATGCTGATGACAATACAGAGGCTCACTCAAAAATTATGACAGAAATGAGACAATTTAAAACTTTCTTTGATATTTTAGGATTTTTTTTAAACAGATGAGAAGTGCATTCAATAAATGCTCACTACATTCTTACATGAAGCTGTACTTCCTAACAGCAACCATGATGTTAAATTTTTAATAAGGAAAAACTAAGCTAATTGACAAGATACACACGGATAAAGAACCATTAAGGTAAACTTAGGAGTTAACAAAGTAACTTAAATTTCAAA